TTATGTCCCACAGTCCAGTCTAATCCCTGTCTGAAGAGCCAGAACATTTTCTTAATAAACTTTGTCATGCCAGTTGACCTAGATGTCCCCTGAAACCATGGTCCCCAGACCCTAGTCCTTGCTACTCTGTCCCTCGAAGTGTTTGGTTGTGTTCAGGAAATTTCTTAACTTTGGTTTAGTCTAGTTATGCCGACTTCCCTGTATTGTGTATTGTCCTTCTCTTCACCTAATATTTCTTTTTTAGTTTTCATTATTATTGCCTTTTATTATCAGTATCTTTATAAATCTGATCTTTGAACACCTGAGAATGATAACAGCAGATTACACGCTGCAACACCGTATGTAGTACAAATTACTGATGATAACATGTGGGGAAAAAAGTCATAACTGTGGTTCTTCGTAACTTGAATACGTTGTAAGTCAGGGACTACCGGTAAAGTTATCACTCAGTTTTGTATGATGGCTTTGAAATGACTCATCTAAAAGTGTAAAAATACAAAAATACTGACTGTCCAGAACTTTTTTTTAAAAAGAAATTTATGTGGATTGTTAGCTAGTTGAGATGTTCTACACAAAAGGATGGAATGGTCAGTTGGCATCACGTTCCAGCCATCAGATTTAAGTGTTTTTGTTTCGTGTGTTACTTAGTTTTATGTTGGATCAGATTTAGTGGAATGCAGGACGGCAGAATTTAATCACTGACTTGCCTGAAGAAAAAGAAAACATGCTTATAAAACGTTCAGGTGGCACAACTGCCAAGAATATTTAATATCTTAGATGATCAAAACAATATATATAAGAACAACTCTACAGGTTTTGAAATTATAGAGTGCAAAGAGTGAAATGAAATTTATACATGTTACTGTGTTACGAAAAAATCTGTACTATTCGATAACCAGTTAAGATTACTGCAAATATAGTAGGCAAAATGTTCTTTTAGGTATAATAGGCTTATGCAAATAAATAAATTTAAAACACCATTTGAAAAGATAAGACTTCCATAGGTAAATGGGCAAAGAACTTGAAAAAAGAGGAAATTCAGATGGCTCAGTAAACTTCGAAGAAATACACATTAAAACAGTATACTGTACTATCACTTTTTAGATATATCAAAGATGAACAAGTATTTTATGGTTGAGGTGTGGTAAAAGTAAATAGAATGTTCAGGTAGGAGTAGAATTGATAATAATCCTTTTGGAAAGCAGTTTGACATGGTATTAAGAGCCTTGAGAGTAGTCATAGTTTATGACCCAGTAATATATAATATATAATAAAATACTTTATGACCCAGTAGTTTTACTGATAGTACCTCTTCAGCATGGAAAAAGAAAACTTCAATATGCAAATTTTATGCTTAATGAGAATTTACAGTAATTTATAGTAAAATTGGAAACGGCCAAAATGTTCTATGATAGGAGAATATGGCAATGAAAATAGTCTCCATTCATTGAGCACTAGTGCCGGTCATGATGTTGGGAGGTGAATCCGATATGTGTTTAGTCCTCAGGGCAACTCCCTGAGGCAGATCTTGTCAGTTAATTTGTCCAAGCCAGGAAATGGCAGAACTGGGATTTAAACTGAGAGTGCTCACTGGATAGAATATTGTTTGACCATTAAAAATGATTCTCTAAGAGCTTTGTGTTGAAACATACAGAAAACATTCGTAAAACATTAGCTGGATAAAAAGCAGAATGTATATGATTTCCCCATGAGCATGCGAGTCTGGGGAAAGGAAAACATTTACTTTTCACTTTTAAACACCCGTATACAACTGTGTAGTGAAATTTGGATGTAGGCGGAACCTTAAACACTGACAGGAAATCCGGGAGATGTTCTGTGTGGGCTCGAGTAGCTCCTTTTAACCACTCCCACTGCTGTCTGAGGGCCTCAGTGACCTCATGAGGAACACTTTCTTATTGCCTAGCTCAAGTTCCTCTAGCTTACCTCTTCTTTCCACCCCACAGACATTGTCTGTTATTCATCAAGAAAATGAGTAGGGGGTGCTGGGAGACACCACCCCCATCCCTTTGCCTGGCTTGTTCCACTCCCTCTGGACCTCAGCTCTTGAGTCCTCAAGCTCCTTCCCTCTCTCTTTTCATGGCCACACCTCTTGGAAGAGTTGCCTGTACTTAATGCTTCTGTTCTTCAAGCCACCCTGTCTGGTCTCAGTCCTGCTGGGCCTTGGGATTGCTCTTGCCCTGTTGGTCTTCCAGTGACCAAACTCAGGTGCTTCAGCCTTCATCTGACATGACCTCCCTATGGTACTTGACACAGCTCACTCTTAAGGAGTCTCCTCTCAGTTTCTGAGTCTACTTTTTCCTGGTGGTCCTCACACAGACCATCCCGTTCCTGCTCCGGGCTCTGCACTGGCCTCTCTGCTCCAACTCTACAGACCTTTCTGGAAGACGGGAAGTGGCTATCTCCAGCCCAGACTCCTTTGTGAGCCCCTGAGCTGTGCCCTTATCACCTACAGGAACTTTTCCCTGAATGCTCCTTAGTTGTCCCAAGCTGGATGTTGTACAAATGCAAACTCTTAACCCCTGCTTACTTAAAAAAATCAGACTCCTTAGTGTGAGGATCTTTCCTGATCTGGCCCGTGTCTGCATAGCTGCCTTTTCTTCTCCCACATGTGCTGCCTTTGTTCAGGTACATGAAGCCATCTCCAGGTGTTGGGTCTGGACTTGCTGAGCTCTCTGTGTTTTTGTCTGCACGCGTGTCATTCTCTCAGCCTCAGGGTGGGCAAATTCCTTCAAGACTCCATGTAGAAAATACCCGGGGTTTGGGCTGTGGGGCCAGATTGGGGCTGAGCCTCAGGCACTTACTTCCCTGAGGGGCTTGGGGTCACCTGACCTTCCTGAACCTCACTTTCATCATATGCAACACAGTAATAACATCTCTATTTTGGGGTACTGAGATAATTAGAATTGAGTCCGATGGGCCTCCCACCTGATGGGTTCTCATGTGCTCTTGAAACCAGTCTAATGAAATAAGCTTATGTTCCAAGTTCTGGTACTAAGTGTTTCTGTTAGAATTCAGATTGGGGTTAGATGCAAGGAAGGCAAAAGGAGATAGATATTTGCATCTTTTAACAAGTTAACGTTTGTTCAGTTGCCTTCTGATTATTAAATACCCACTTAAGTGGGTATGTTGTATAATATCTTTTGCTTATAAGAAAAAAAGATAAAAATTTATTGTGATCTTACTTTTTTCTGAAGTACACAATTGATAACCCTTGTCCATTTGACTTTTAAAATATTTTAATATTTACCTGATGAATCCATATTTTATATTTAGTATAGTAGTTGATACTGTGTATGTCACTGAGCGAGCATTGAAGGGACAAAAATAAGTTGATATTTGATCTCTGCTGTCATATGCCTATGATAATTTTATAGTCTTATCTGTGGTGGGGTTTTTTGTTTTGTTTTTAAATAAAACCAGAATACCAGTTTATTAGTCTACCACACTCTCACTGCGGACACCACAGGAAACCAGGATTTCAGAATATGTTCAGCGAGAATGGCATCAGACCAAGAAGAGCTGTACAACTTGAATGTATCGAGGCATTGCACTAAGGCTTCTAAAAATGACTCATATTTAAGACCATGAGGCATGTGGCGCGTTCAGGGGCTTGTCACATCCAGGGCATGTGCAGTGCTGGGGCTTCAGGGAGGACCCCTCTGACCAAGATGGGGACAGGCGGAGTCCTAACTGCATGTAAACTTTCTTCCTTTGGCGAGGGGAGGGGGAGGTAGTGGTTTAAATTTACATATTAATTTTTTTAATATTCCCAAAAGAGAGTATAGTGAACTCCTGTATGCTTATCACCCAACTTCAACGGTTATCAATATTTTGCCAGTTTTGTATCATCTCACTACCTCAGACATTTTTTATGCTCCAGTATTTAAAGCAAACCCTAGATATGTTATTTTATCCATAAATTACAGTTGAGTTTTTAACATTAATTTTATATGAAGAAATGTTATGCATATAAATTGGTATGAACTTTCTAGAGAATATGGAGACAGTGTGTATAAGGAGTCTTTAAAATGTTTGTATCCTTTGTTCCAGAGATTCTATTTTAGGAAATTTATCCTTAGGAAAATAATGATGTACACAGATTTAAGAGTAAATCTTAAAGTATAGCTGAATGATAGATATGAGTGAAAAAATCTGGGTTACTTATATTCATGAAAAATCAGAAAATAACAAAAGAATAATAAATAAGTGGCATAGCTATTTGATTAAATATGCAGCCATAAAATTGTGTTTTTAGAAAGTATGTGATTTACATACTTAAAAGTAGCATTCAAAACATTATAGTATGATCACTATATTTTATTTAACATTTTGTTAGAACAGCATAAACAGGTTTTTACAGATATACCTAGGAAAAGAAAGAAAGTATTTTGATACATTCCAACAACAGTTACCTCTGGGTGTTGGGGTTGGGGATGATATTATTTCCTTTTCGTTTTTCTAAATCTATGAAAAACTTGCAGTTAATGAAAAAAATTAAAATTATTACATAGATGATATTATTTTGGGGTACTATCAGTATTTACAAGTTCAAACCCAAATAATTGGGAGGATTGTTTGGAGTTCTAGAGTTGTGTTTTTAGAGCCATTGTTTAATGCATGCAACTATTAAGTATTTACAAAAGTACAAATTTGTAAACCTACATATGGATTATTACTAGATCAGAATAACATTTGTAGACATTTTCTGTGGGACTTTCATAACTTCCTGCTGAGTAAAGCTTAGCTAGTCCTAAACTATTCTGAGGAATAAAAGTGAGGTGTGGATCCTGATTGGCCAGCAGGTCCTGATGGTGCTGCATTATTTTCCTGTGGGTCACCTCTACTGGGAAAAAAAGGTTGGAGAGCTAGTTTGAAAACTGTCCTGTTTTACACAAGTTTTTGTTGTTTTTTAAAGTGTGCTGTTACAGCATGAAAGCTAGATTGGTTTATTATTTTTGTTTCTTTTTCTTTATTTTTAGGTTAAAAATTTTGCAGTTATTTATCTTGTGGATATTACAGAAGTACCTGACTTCAACAAAATGTATGAGTTATACGATCCTTGCACAGTCATGTTTTTCTTCAGGTATGTTACATTATCTTAAAGTTATTAGAGTGAATTTTATCCGGAACTTGAATGTAATCAAGATATCTTTAGATTCTTTTATTCAGAACCAATCACATCACAATATCAACAGACAATGTGAATCGTTTGAAGTTTTTTTAAAGTAACAATTCCAGTTTTAGCATTTACTCAGTAACAAATTATCCTTTTGTAGTAACATTGCCCAGAAATTGAGGTGAGGTGTAGTTGAGTGGAAGGTACTCTTACTGAAATTTAAGATACTGCGGTGTGATGGATAGCTTTTGTGTGGCCTTTCTCGCCATGGTCTTGTAACTCCCACCCAAGTGATTGGGTGGAACTGTGCAAATAAGGTAATTGTGGCCCACCAAGGGACTTGGTCAGTTTTGCCATCCTGCTAGGCTTAAAAGAGAGCTAATTCCAGATCAGAGAGAGGATCTCACCACCACCAAGGAAGAAGAGCCAGGAACAGAGCGTGTCCTTTGGACCCAGGATCCCTGCACTGAGAAGCTCCTGGAACCAAGAGTCCGAGAGAGAGAACTGTAACACTGAAGACCGTGAGAAGTGGCGGCAGAGAAACCACAGCAGCAAAGGCAGGAGATCAGCAGAAGAGACTGGCAAGAAAGGCGCAGTGAGCTTTCCAGCTCCCAGAGCAAGAAAGCTGAGTGCCTTTGGGCAGGAGGCTTGCTGGAGGAGTAGAGTGCCTCTGGGCACTTGGTGGGGCTAGGTTCACCAACCCACGGAGCTAGAGCTGAGCATCTTCGGGCTGAGGCTTACTGGCAGAGTGGGGTGCCTTGGGCCACTTACTGGCAGAGCTAAAAGAGCTTTGGAACACTTACCTGAGCAGGGCAGAGGCCAAGGGGCCAGAGAGAGGCCTGCCTGCAGGCACGACTGAGAAGAGGCTGTTCTGATGGAAGAACTGTATCCTGAGGGTTCCTGAACCTGTTACTTCCCTAATAAACCCCATAACTGTGAGTATGGTCTGTGAGTTCTGTGTGGCCATTGCAATGAATTATCAAACTCAACAGAGAAGTAGAGTGTGCCATGGGAGGAATGGTTGATGTCAGAATTTGTAAAGATGGTGGAGAGAGGAGGCATGTCTGACTCTGCCTCATAGGAAATCAGCCTTGGACCGGTGATCTTGATTCTCCTTCCACCGTGTGAAGTTAGAGGAGGTCAGATGCCACCCCCATGCCGTTTTTACAGATACCTTTAAATATAATCTGTTGATAAAAAGATCTGTTTTAAAATAATTCCCGTATAAAATATGATGTCAATGACTTTTTCATGTACTTTTTGTGGAACACGAGGAAAACTAACTTGTATTTAATTACTTGTACATGCAAGATTATTTTATCAGGTCAGAAATTCTGTTGTGAAGCTTTAATTTGGAAAGAAATCACAATTGACATTGTTTTTACTAGTCAAAATTTCTTAGTGTTACTATAAAAGTTGGTAAATAGCAATAGAAGCATTAGTCCATCCTCTAAAAGTAGATCTCCCTAGTTGGTCTGGAGGGCCTAGGTGGATGTTGTAGGATATGTATTAGGTTTCCATTTTGTGTGACAGATTAGCACAAAGTTAGCAACTTAAATCAACACCTATGTATTAGCTCACAGCTCTGAGGGTCAGAAGTCCAGTGGGCTTGGCCTGGCTCTCTGCTCTGGGTCTTTTGTGGCCAAAACCAGGGTGTCATCTGGAGACTCCGGGAAGAGTCTACATTGGCTTATTGGGTGTTGCAGAACCAGCCCCTGTGGCTGGGTCTGAGGTCTCCTTGCTGCTGTTAGCGGGGCCTCTCTGTGCTCTGGGAGGCCACTCCACTCCTTCTTGCACGACCCCTCCATCTTCACGTCCAGCAACGGCGTGTCCAGTCCTCGTGACGCTCTGAATATCTCTGACTCCCCTTCTGCACTAGCCTGAGAAAACTGCTTTTAGAGGTTCCCTGGGATTAGGTTGGGCTCACCCAAATAATCCAAGGTACTCTCCCTATTTTAAAGTCATTGACTGGTAATCTTAATTACATCTGTAAAATCCCTTTTGCAGTACAATGTAACTTAATCACAGGGATGATGTCTCATCACTTTCAGAGTCCCAGGGATTAGGGCAGGAAATCTTGAGGGGGAAGCATTTTAGGGTTTTGCCTTCTGTAGTCTGGAGCCTGGGTGGCACAAATGGTTTTCGATGGGCTGCTAACCTAAAGATTAATGGTTCAGTCTGGGGACTTAAAAGCTTGTGAGCGGCCATCTAAGATACTCCACTGGTCTCACCCCATCTG